GGAGCCATGGATATATACAAGAGGGAAACAACAGGCTCTTCAACAACTGGTGTTTGCAAAACTGGACAGCTATATGCAAGGGAATGCAAGTGTATTATTGTTTAACCCCATACACAAAAGTAAGCTAAAAATGGATCAAAGACCTGAATGTAAGTCATGAAACCATAAAACTCTTAGAACACAACATAAGAAAAATCTCTTGAATATGAACATGAGCAACTTTTCCCTGAACACATCTCCTCAGGCAAGGGAAACAAAATAAAAAATGAACAAATGGGACTACAACAAGCTAAAAAGCTTCTGTACAGGAAAGGACACCATCAGCAGAACAAAAAGGCATCCTACAAGATGGTGGAATATATTTGTAAATGACATATCTGACAAGGGGTTAACATCCAAAATATATAAAGAACTCACATGCCTCAACACCCAGAAAGCAAATACCTGTATTAAAAATTGTATAGAGGATCTGAACAGACACTTTTCCAAGGAAGAAATTCAGAAGGCCAACAGACACATGAAAAGATGCTCCAAATTGCTAATTATCAGGGAAATGTAAATTAAAACCACAATGAGATATCACCTCACCCCTGTTAGGATGGCCAACATAGAAAAGACTAAGAACAACAAATGCTGGCGAGGTTGTGGAGAAAGGGGAGCCCTCCTACACTGCTGCTGGAAATGTAAACTAGTTCAGCAATTGTGGAAAGCAATATGGAGGTTCCTCAAAAAACTCAAAATAGAAATACCATTTAACCCAGGAATTCCACTCCTGGAAATTTACCCTAAGAAAACAACTTCTCAGATTCAAGAAGACATATGCACCCCTATGTTTATCACAGCACTATATACAAGAGTCAAGATATGGAAGTAACTTAAGTGCCCATCAGTAGATGAATGGATAAAGAAGAGGTGGTATATGTACACAATGGAATATTATTCAGCCATAAGAAGAAAAGAAATCCTACCATTTGCAAAACATGGATGGAGCTACAGGGTATTATGCTCAGTGAAATAAGCCAGGTGGAGAAAGACAAATACCAAATAATTTCCCTCATTTGTGGAGTGTAACAATGATGCGAAAGTGAAGGAACAAAATAGCAGCAGGCTCACAGACTCCAAGAAGGGACTACTGGTTACCAAAGGGGAGCAGTGGGAAAGGGTGGGTAGGGAGGGAGGGAGAAGGGGATTGAGGGGCATTATGATTGGCCCACATGTTGTGTTGAGGGTCACGGGGAAGACAGTGTAGCACAGAGAAGACAAGTAGTGACTCTGTTGCATCTTATTACGCTGGTGGACAGTGACTGCAATGGGGTGTAGGGGGAACTTGATAATATAGGTGAATGTAGTCACCACGATGTTTTTCATGTGAAATCTTCATAATAACAGTGTATATCAATGATTCCATGATAAAAATAAAAAGCTTGGAAAGTGTTAATGAGATACACAATAGGAATTGGGAGACCACCAGGATTTTGAAGTACAGTCTGCAAATGTTAGATCTATGATGTAGTTCCTAGTTGGTATTTGAGCATTTTATTTTGCAATCTATATCATCTAAGTACTGTTTATATATCATTGTATTTATTAAGCACCTAATAGTCATCAAATACAAACACAACTGATAGAGATACTGAATTAATTAGGACAATGTTTGCTCCTGAGGTATTCCAAGTTAGATGGGAAGGAGCTTAGCATATAAATAAATAGCTATAATGACACATGTAAATGCTCTCCATACTAAAGGGAGAAACTAAGTGCTGTGTGGACTCAGAGAAGACAGCTGAAGTGAAATGGCATCAAGCTGCTCAGCACTGCCAAGGTCCTGTAGCAGCAAACACTCTGGGCAGAGCAGTCCTCACGGGTGACAGATGTTGCAGAGCATGACAAGCATTCACTCCTACTTCACATTCTTCACAATCTTCACCGCAAACTTTCAGTTCCCTTTTTAAACCACGTAACCTAGTGGGATTCAAATTCACCTTGACGAAGGAGCCAGTGTGGCCGCTGCTAAGTCAGTCTGACGAGAAGCTGCCAGTGAGCCAGGAATATTCAAGCTCAAGCATATTATCTTCAGACAAATGCCTGGACACAACCATCCAACTGTAGACTGGCCTAGGGAAGAGCCGGAAGGGAAGAGCCTGGTGTCTGATCCAAAATATCAGGAAGTCCCCCCTACAGGCGAATCCTGGAGGACCATATGTAAGCCTTCTACATGAGAGCACAGGGACAGTGGAGATAAGAGGAGGGTGATGTCTGACCACCAGGTGCAGAGTGGGAAAGATGTATTTGCTGTTATCACTAAGACTGAATGAAGCATGTAAGTGTCCTACACAGAAAGCAAACCAGGTACACGTGAAGCTTCCTTTTTGGAAAACAGTTTATCGCTGAATGTAACTGAACGTGCAGATTACTTATTGGAACCTTGGTTAGCTTATACTCTAAGACCCAACCAGAAGGAAAGGCCATATTCTCCACATGTAGGTTTGCAAACCTCTGGCCTGGAAAAGAGGTTACCATCGTAAAGGGCTATAATAGAGTAGCTCTGGTGTTCATACCATCTTCCAGTCTGTTTCAGGCAGACCCAGAGGGTCCTCATTGTCCAGCAGTGGGGAGGCCTGAGGGGCAGGAGCAGTGAGTCACATGCTGCTGTCACACTCGGGGCTCCTACAGGGCCTCTTGCTGACTGAGTACGCGTGGCTTGGCAGCTGATGGCAAATCCTGAATCAGGGCTTCAGGGGTGGTCGTGCTGAACGTACTCTTAACTCCCAAGTGGCAGAAGGATGGGCAATATAGGACACAGGAAGTGAGAGAGAGGGAACAGCACGCCAGAGAAATAAGATAAATGTTTGGAAAACAGCCTGCCTTTCTTGTTTGAGTTCTTCTCCATTGTCCTCTGGAGTTTCTCCTAGGGACTTTGCCATAATTACACATTTCAATAAAAACATCTTAAAGTTGAAAGGCAGATTTAAGGGAATGAACACCCTATCAGATATTAGGAGACCAAACTAGGTTCTAATGTGTCCATGTAACAAACCGGCTGTGTTATGAAGGCCACTGGACCCCTCTGGGCCTCAAGGAGGAAGAAATGGTGGTAAGGAGGGGCTTTCTCTGCAGGCCAAGTCCCGGAGCCTTACCTGCTGCTCCGCAGCCCGCACACCTCCACTGTGCTGACTGCAGAGTGCCTTGCTGACCCCACAGAAGCAGGCCTGAGGTCCTGTCACTTGGCCTGAGCACTGCCTTCCAGCTCCCCCATTTTCCTTCTCACCACCTCGGCCTCCAGGGATTTCCTTCCCATGATGAACCCAGTTGCTACCCTCGTCGTTACAGGCAGACCCACACACAACCTCAGGGAGGGGCGTGTAACTCCCGATGCCAGGATCCAAACCCTGAGCCCGCAGCCTTCTTCTGCTCCTGTCCCACCCAGCCTTCCCATCCCAAAAGCCATGATAATTAAAAGAGAGTCCCACTGCCCAGGGAAGGAGTTAGGAAGAACTGAAAGAACAGAGAATCTCCATCCTACTACTAGGGTTTGTGTTTAGGGAATGTGTTCTTCTAGGACACATTAGGAGCTCAATGATGTATTCCAGTTGTCGTGCAATTCAATTTGGGGAGGTCTCCCTGCCAGCTAGGTGGGACTTCAACCTGGGAGAGGGTTCTTGACTCTGAGAAAGAATTCATGAGGTCAAGCAGGTACAAGCAAAGTGTGGTTTAATGAAACATAAGTACACACTCAAGGAGGGAGTGTGGGCGTACTCCAGAGGTGAGCGGTGCAGTGGGGCTCTGGTTCTGTGGTCTTACGGCTGCAGTTTAAGCAGGGGGGAATATTTATTGGGAAAGGTGTGGTTTACTCAGAACAGGGAGGGGGTTTGGGGGAGCAGGGGCTATACCCCTTTTTGTCCAGACAGGGTTGGCCTGGGAACTGTCATGGTGCCAAGGGGTGTGATCTTCAGTATGCCTAGGAGCATTGTGAGCTCTGGGGTAACTGTAGGTCATTTCTGCACCTCCATCTTGAATATAGTTGGTCTGAACAGTTAGGAGCTGCAGTCTGTTTTGCCATCAGTTATGTTCTGAGAATCTAGCTGGTTTATTTTCCCTTAACCTGTTCAGCCAGATGGCCTCATCCACTGGCCTCAAGCTTTTCTTGACTCAACTAGGGCCCAGATCTTTTCCTGGGCTCCACTCCTGTGCCATAATGAATAAAACAGTGTTCCTCAACCAGAATTCATAAAGCTGTTTCCTGAAGCTCTGTTCTACTCCTGCATTTCATGAGCCCAGGCTGGGGAAACAGCTTTCCTGCAGGCTGGCCTGAGGACCTCACTCTCAGGAGGCATTGTTTCCACGGCAAAATGCTGTCTGAGTGGCAAATGACTTATTAGTGACCTTTAAAAACCACCTTTCCTTCCTCAGGAATGGCTTTTAAAACAGGAAGATTAAAAATTCTCCCAGGCAAAAGATACCAAAAAGCAGCCGGCTCTGGCGGTCATGTGATTCTTTGTACATATACTGTCATGCAGGGGGACACATGTGCACAGATATGCAAATATGCAAGGAGCAGACTGGGAAAAGTGAATTATCTAATCAGTCACACACATACACCACACTTATCTTCATGAACAGCATGAAGTCAGCTTCAGATGACCATTCCCAAGAGCAGCTATGTTCTTGGGAAGGCGGTTTCAGTGATGCTGAGAGTAAATAGCAAAGGAAGCGGAGACCACACAGAACTCAGGAGGATCAAGAAAGACAGTATTTGGAGAAATGGTTAAGACACACAGGAGAGCTACACATGGGCAGGATACCCCCATACTCGCTTCCAAACCAGAGCCGCCCCAGAACCCCCAGTACTTGCCTCCAAATTCAGACCCCCCCGAGAAAACATGCGAGCAAAGCTCCACTGGCAGCCTGAGAGCAGTGGGGAGGGCAGGGCATGCGCGGTGTTCCGGAAAGGGGGACGCTGGGGAGAGGGCCGGGGGCCTCGCGTCGACAAGCCGACTTACCTCATAGAAAAGGCCCTCGGGGAACTGCTGGAAGCACTGGGCGCACACAAAGCACTGCTCGTGGTACAGTTCACCGTTGCTGTTGACGATCTTCTCGGCGGGCGCGAAGCCACCCTTGCAGCGCTCACAGGTGGCGCTGGCCAGGGCGTGGGCCATGTTGCTACAGGAGACAAGGGGCAGGACATCACTGGCTGTCGGCCTTGTCTTGGCCACGAGGCCGAACGCCACCATGAGCCAAAGAGCGCATTCTTCCTGATCACAAACACCGAATTTCACCCGCCAAGCCCACCTCCCGCTGTGCCCTAAGGACTCCACTCCAGCTGTCCCCTCTCTGCCCCAGCATCCTAGGTTCTGAAGGGGCCTCCGGCGTGGAGTCTGTTTTTCTCTTTCTGTTTGAGTTTTTCTTATTGAAGTATAGTTGATATACAACATTATATTGGTTTTAAGCATACAACACAGTGATTCAACAGTTATCTACATTATTAAGTGCTCACCCCAAGTAGTGCGGTTATTATGTGCCACCACAGTAAGATTTTACAGAATCACTGAATATTCACTACGCTGTACTATCAATCCCGTGACTAACTTATGTTATGACTGGGATTTTGTGCCTATTTGCCCCTTAACCTACTTCACCCACCCACACCAGTCCCTCCCTGGAGACTGTTTTTCTCTAACACTTTTGGCATTTCTCTTGCTAAACATAACACAGGTGAGTTCCTACCAGCTGTGAGGAGCTAGGGGCACAGAGATCAAAAGTCAAGAGACGTCCTCAAGGCACTTGAGTTTATATTTTGATAAGTAGCTTAATTAAAAACCCACAAGTTAGTATAGCTCAAAGCCAACTCCTCTCCCTTCTGAGAACAGAATCTAACTGCCTGTCCACTGAGTGCCATGTCAAGGCCTAGACACGGGATCTCTGGGGCTAGCTCCTGTGGACAACTGCTTCAGGAACTCTTAAACCAGCCAATGTGTCTTAGCCAATAATCTAATCAGGAGGACAAAATTTTAAAATGTGCAAGATCCAAAATACTGAACACTAATATTATAAAATATATCATAAACCCATAGGGTGTTATATTACGAAGATCCATTACATTTTACAGATGATGAAACAGAGGTTCTGGAGAGGTGTGGTCATTGGCTCAGTGTCACAAAGCTCACCAGTTAATTAAAGATACAGGACCAGAATCCAGGTCCCCACTTAAAAAATCACAACCAGATCACAGTACCAATTTCAACCACTGGAGAGGATGTGGTAAGGACAGTACCAGGCTTTACCGATCAGGAAAATGAGACCAGTCCATGGAGTAAGGACTGACAAGCCAGGGGACTTGGTAACGAACTCCCTGGCCAGTCATGCTCCTCCATGAAACACTCACGAGGTGTTCAGCGAGCAATCCCAAGTTCCCGTGAAGCACTGCTCAGTTTGGAAGAAGAAAACCGTTATACTCAAGCATATACCTAGATAATTACTTGTTCTCGGAAGAGCCCTTGGATACCACATAAAGAACGGTTTTACTTCTGAGGGCCTCAAGTGGAGAAAGGCCCCTCGGCAGAGCAGGTATTGGCCAACTGTCCACCGCCATTTGGCTGGGTATTTTCAGATGCCCACTCAGAGCACCAGCTCCACCTGTGTGTCTGGTGCCCAGCACAGCCCCTGGCCACCCAGATTCGGAGCCAGTGCACCTTGTGCAGTTACTGCCCAGGCTCTCCCAAACCTTCTTGGCACCCAGCAAGGCCAAGGGGGCAACAGGCCCCACTGCACAGGCAATTCACACCTCCTGTCAGGTCTTACTGTTTACTCAGCAAACATGTTCAGACTCACCTAGTTTCACCTCTATGCTGCCCCAGTGCAAGACAGCTTTGCCTTTTCCCCCTAGATGTTTCAAAGAACAGTATTCCCATTTTGTAGCCTTGCCATAACCACCCCCATTCAAAAGTACCATGCCCATAACCCCATAGCCATCAAAACTCAACTTCACTTACTAGGCTTAAGTATAGTAATAAATGGCCACCAAAAAAAGGAGGGGAGATAGGGAGGCAACCTCACTGCTTGGCAAACCTGGCCTAAGTCTCATATTAATATAAATTTTCTACTTTGTCATTTCAAAGTTACTGTGGGTTCGGGAGAAAACTGTAAAATTCTCTTTTTCACCTGGCTTTGTTATAAACCAGAAGAACTGTGGCAGTTTTACCAAAGCTCTTGAAGATGTTTTGTGCATCCCCTTTTTCCTGACCAAAATCCACAGGTGTCCCTTGATGAAGTATATACTAAGCCCACACCTGCCCCAGTAATTCTTAGTACTGCTTTGAGGATAAAATAAGAAAAAGTTTATAAAACCACTTTGGAAGCCAGAAGATACCACTCAAATATAAAGCATCATTACTAATTTTAAACCTTGTCAAAACAGTCACCAAATCCTCAATGCTTTTAATAGAACTTCAAAAAGGCTGGAAGAGAGGAATGTTCTGGGATGTCCTGATTCATGATTACCTACATCAGTGGTTCTCAAAGTGTAGAGGCCACTGTGACCCTTTCAGGGGTTCAAAACGTCCTCCCTTTTCCAACTATATCTCTGTAGGAGGCCATATTTTGATATACTTTATTTAAAACAACTATTACAACAGGATGAATACAGATGTGAGAAACTGTCATTTATTAAGACAGACATTAATGAGATTTGCAAAAATGTAATACAATGCCACTTTTCCCACCTAGCTTTTGTTATTTTGGAAACAGCTATTTTTCATAAAAATTAAATAATTTAAATATTTATTAAGATATTAAAGGTAATGAGTTTATTTTTAACAAATATTTAAAAATTTTAAAGTTTTATTTTTGAATACAGTAAATATTGATAAACAAAATCTCTTTGGGGAACATGATAATCTTTTTAAGAGTATAAAGGGGTCCCAAGACCAAAGTGTTCACCGCCAACATGTTTATTACTCATTATGGTACATACTGGCTAGCCTGGCTATATTCAAATTCAAATACTTGAATAGTTAGAAAACAGGTAGATACAGTATAAAAACTAGCACATAGTTTTCCCCATACACAGGAAAAATAAGTGATTTTTAGAGATAATGCAGTTGGTGTATTTTTGAAGGAGTATTCCTTTTACTAACAAGTAGCAAAAGAAAGGAAACAACATTAGTGGAAACTTTCAGAAAAAAAAAGTCAATAATCTCAACAACCTGCTGAACTAATTACATTTCCCTTTCTTCTCTGCTTTCTGACCCTCTGGCACTATGCATTTTTTTTTTAATGGACTGTTTTTAGAGCAGTTTTAGGTCTGCAGCAAAGCCTAGCATAAGGTACAGAGATGTCCCATACGCCTCGCCCCACAGCTGCCTCCACCACCACCATCCCCACCAGGGAGGTAGGTTTGTTACAACTGATGAACATACACTGACCTATGTATATTTTTTACAGTTGATTTTTATATGTCATACTACATATGATAGAAGTTATTTTTTTAAGGTCATGATCATTATTAAGCTGTCATTTAGTTATAATTAATTGGCAATTTTCAAAAAATGATTTTCACTAGAAAGTGTTGATGACAAGGAATATATATGTTGGGGAACATAGAGTATACACATGTAAAAAGCCTTTAGTGTAGAATCTTCCTTACGGGCCAGTCACAGCTGATTTACCTTATCTACTTCCACAAATGTGCTACACAGAAAAGCTGATGTGACCGAGGTAATCTTTATTCAAGTGTCACATTTATCAGAGTATGTGAAACAAATTCTCTGCCAGAGATGCAAAAATATGCAAAATCCAAAGAGCATGCTGAGAGTCCCCCAAGAACTTTGGTTACAATGTAATTATATCTGCCCAATTATTCTTACACAGAGCTCTTTATGAGTTGTAAAAATATCTGTTGCAACACCACACAGAATGGATTAATAGAAATAGAAAATCAGGTCAGTTAAAATCTCCTGAACTCTTGACTGACAAGTCTAGGGGTGTGCAATATAATTAATTCCCAGTCATGACTCTGAATGAGGTCAACAGTCTTATATGAGTTCACCTAAATATGCTGCACTTAAAAAAACACTTTGCTAAAACTCATTTAATAACATGAATTAGACTAACTTTCAAGAGTTATCGGCATGTTTTATTTAAGTATATATTTGCTGGTTACACAGCATCCTTATTTATTCATTCATTCATTGAGTCCCAGAGACGGTATTAAGAAACCCAGTTCGTCTACTTCAAACTGCTGGTTGTTCAACCTAACAGACATGTGTGTGTACCCTGATCATCTGTAAAGCCCCCAAATGCCCCGGAACTGCGGGGCATTCTGGAGCATAAAATCCTTCTCTCAGAAACCCTGACCCCAGAGCTCCCCGCCTCCCTGACGACTCCGGATGCTGCTGCCCACGGACCCCACCTGCCGACGGGGCAGCGGCCCTCCAAGGCCCCCATCACCCGGGAAGGCCGCTCCTGGGCTCCCTGCAGGTGCCGGCGAGCCCCGGCCGCCTGGATCAAGGGAGGGGACACTTACAATTTCGCATAAAAGTCACAGAACTCCTTGTAGACTTTGACGTCGCTGCGCCTGCGCTGCAGTCTGGACTCGGCCCTCTCGGCCTCGTCGGCGGCGGCGCGGCGCACGCTCAGCGGGGCCGCCCGGGGTGCCTCCTCGTGCTCGGGGATGGCCGAGGGGCGCGGGAGGCCGGGCCCGCCATGGCGCCGCGGCGCGCGCCGGGCACAGGCAGGCCTCCCGCTTCCCCGAGCAAAGGGCTCGGCCGGACGACGCGTGAGCCGGCGGGTCAGCCCCGACTCACGGAGACACGGCCGGCAGCCCCGGGCATCTGGCGGCGCGGGGACACGCCTGCTGGCGCGGCCTTCCTGCGGGCCGTCCGCAGGCACGAGCACACTCAGGGCCGCCGGGCCAGCTCCAGGGGAGGGGCGGCCACGCGCCCAGGCGTCACCGACACCGACGCCGCGCTCCTCAGCCCTGCCGGCGAGAGCCTCTCGGAGAGCCCGCGAGCGCCCCAGAAACCCTGCCCTTCCAACACGCCCCCCGCCGGGGGGTGCTGCCCTCACGCTCGCTGCCCGTGCTGTAAGGCTGCCTTCCCACAGCGGTGCCACCCCGAAACCAGGAGCTACGTTTGCCTTTTACTTATTTTGCTCTTGGATCCCAGTAAGGGCTGGATAATGTGTTCACGGAATGGGTGCAGGAGGAGACGGGAAGGAGCTGGAGTCTCTGCAGAACTCTATTTGGCCCCGGCTAGTCCTGTAAGTTGGGTGAGCCAATGTTTCCCGGGTCTTTCGCGACTAAGTAAGGATGCCGCTGGCCTACCTGCTCCATTCCTTCCCTCTACTGTCATCTTTAATAGTTTTAGTCATGAAGATACAAAGTAGCACCAGGAGCAATAAAGGGGTTCAGAATCTTTCTCACATCCCAATGTCCCATCCCAAGGTACCAAAGGGCACTTGAGAGAGAAAATCTAGAGAAGAGGTAAAAGGCAAACTGACCAACAGAGCAGGTCACCTTAGAGGCAGGAGAGGAGAGCCAGGAATTCAACAGCAGACAGAACGCAGCCAGGCTGCGCAGTAATAGCTATAAATAATGAGATCTAAATGTTACTAAGTACCTAATAAGGTAGGTATTACTTACAGATGGGGAAACTGAGGCCCACAGTGGGTGAATAGCTAGTAAGCAGGTAGTAGAGTCAGGATTTAAGCCTAGGTAGTCTGGTTCTGGAACCGATGCTATTAACTACTGTGGAAGACAATGATAAAACATAATTACTGGACAGCAAACAGGTGAACTAGAAAAGATCAGGTAGTGGGTACAAAATGGGGCTAGAAGCAGAACATGAGATCTAGTTTTCCCACTCTGAACACTAAAGATCTCAGAATACATGCCAGAAACTCAAAGCCTGCAGGCTATGAATTCTGCCCAGGCCCAAAGCCTGTGGCTGTTGGAGCAAAAGACTCACCATTTTTAAATAAAGAAACTACCTCATAGTCTACTTTTTTTACAATGCCCGTGTGGAATAGAGAGAGGAGGCACTGGGCATGGACAGACACACATACAGACCAGAAACACACTGTGCTGACTTAGGGGTACCATGGTACGTACGTAGTGGGGAGCAACCTGAGCCTCCTAACCAGATAACTTCTTCCCTCTTAACCTGATTATTTTCTCTCTATTCACATTTTTACTTTACCTAAGACACTCCTTGTTTCAAAGTATCAATCTTTAATTATCTTTAAATTTCTTTAGTTCAGTATACTAGGATCAAGCCCATGAATATGGGGACTTGGCCTCCCCTGGAAGATTTTAGACAATACCTTGGTGAAACAGAAGGAGGTCCCCCCACCACTATGATCTTCCAACTCACCAGTTCACATTAACTTCATATAGAGGTAACTTATCCTGTATAAATAACAAACAAGACAACTGACCTTAAGAGAGTTTAAGTGGCCTGCTCCAAGTGGAAGGTCCCAAATTCAGACTCAGACACCTGCCTCCAGTTTTTACCTCTTTGTGGAACCCATCCTGTAAGGGTGCTTTCAGCATCTGGTATATTTGCCAATGCCTAAGGAAGGAAGCTGTCAGGCTCTGCTTGCTTTCATTACAATATTCCTTACAGGTTTAATCCATACTAGGTAGTAATTGCAAATCATGTTCATTCTCCTGCCAGGATCATATCAGCAGACGCAAAGTATCCTGCCCACACAGAGGTAGTGTCACCTAGAGACATGAGCCTGCAGAGCAGAGCACCAAGGCAGGGAATGGGCGGCTCCTTTTCCCTTCAGTTCAGAGACTCCAGGGGAACTGGGGACAGAATTCAGCCTCACTTCACATGCCAAAAATGTAACCTCCATGAGTGTAGGAACTTCATCTTGTTCATCCTATACCCCAGCATCAGGAACAGAGCACATCACTTAGCAGGTGTGCAGTTATTATCTGCATATGAATGAAATGGGGTTAATAACCCATCTAACCCATTTACTTTGTCTTGCAAACCATGAAAAAATGAAAGAGCAGATCAGCTACCAGTCTGATAAGCATTCTGAGTCATCAGTAGACCAAAAATGTAACTAATAATTTTATTAACTTCATAACAACAAGTATTATTTCCACTAGACAGAAAAGTAGAGCTAGATAAAGCTAAAGGTCAAGAGCATGTAACAAAATCAGTTCACTTATCTGCCAAGGAATTAAAAATGAAGAGAAAGATCCACAAGCAAAGTTCTACTTGTTATTTTGGAATAATTACACAGTCACAGGTAAGTTCCCTAGATTGTACAGAGAAGTCCTTCGTGTCCTTCACAGTCTCCCCAGTGACTACGCTCATGTGAATGTAGTACACCATCCAAACAAGGAGTTTGACATTATAGGTCTTTGTCATTTTGTCACAGGGGTAAATACCTAAAACCACCACCCCAATTAAGATATAGTACTTTCCTCACCACTAAGATCTCCCTCATGCCATCTCTAAATTAAACCTACCTTCCCCCGGGCCCTGTAATTCCTAACCCATGGCAATCAGCAATCTGTTTTTCTTTTGGTTTCATTGATCTACAATTACATAAGGCACATTATGTTTACTAGACTTCCCCCAGCAACAAGTCCCCCCATATACCCCATTAGTCACTGTCCATCAGTGTAGGAAGACGCTGTAGAATCAGTACTTGTCTTCTCTGTGCTGTACAGTCCTTGCCCTGCCCACACCCACATTATACATGCTAATCATAATGTCCTCTCTTCCCCCCACCCATGCTTATCCCTCCCTTCCCACCCATCCTCCCAAGTCCCTTTCTCTTTGGTAACTGTTAGTCCATTCTTGGGTTCTGTGATTCTGCTGATGTTTTGCTCCTTCAGTTTTTTTCTTTGTCCTTATACTCCACAGATGAGTGAAATCATTTGGTACTTGTCTTTCTCTGCCTGGCTTATTTCACTGAGCATAATACCCTCTAGATCCATCCGTGTTGTTGCAAATGGTAGGATTTATTTTCTTCTTATGGCTGAATAATATTCCATTGTGTATATGTACCACTTCTTTATCCATTCATCTACTGATGGACACTTAGGTTGCTTCCATTTATTGACTATTGTAAATAGTGCTGTGATAAACAGGGGTGCATATGTCTTTTTCAAACTGGGCTCCTGCATTCTTAGGGTCAATTCCTAGGAGTGGAATTCCTGGGTCAAATGGTATTTCTATTTTGAGTTTTTTGAGGAAACTCCATACTGCTTTCCACAATGGTTGAACTAATTTACATTCCCACCAGCAGTGTAGGAGGGTTCCTCTTTTTCCACAACCTTGCCAACATTTGTGGCTGTCTTTCTTTTGGATGGCGGCAATCCTTACTGGTGTGAGGTGATATCTCATTGTGGTTTTAATTTGCATTTCTCTGATGATTAGCGATGTGGAGCATCTTTTCATGTGTCTGTTGGCCATCTGAATTTCTTCTTTGGACAACTGTCTGTTCAGCTCCTCTGCCCATTGTTTAATTGGATTATTTGCTTTTTGTTTCTGGAGGTGCATGAGCTCTATGTATTTTGGATGTCAACCCTTTATTGGAAGTGTCATTTATGAATATATTCTCCCATACTGTAGGATGCCTTTTTGTTCTATTGGTGGTGTCCTTTGCTGTACAGAAGCTTTTCAGCTTGACATAGTCCCACTTGTTCATTTTTGCTTTTGTTTCCCTTGCCCGGGGAGATATGTTCAAAGTTGCTCATGTTTATGTCCAAGAGATTTTTGCCTATGTTTTTATCTAAGAGTTTTATGGTTTCATGACTTATATTCAGACCTTTGATCCATTTTGAATTTACTTTTGTGTATGGGGTTAGACAATGATCCAGTTTCATTCTCTTACATGTAGCTGTTCAGGTTTGCCAACACCAGCTGTTGAAGAGGCTGTTATTTCCCCATTGTAGGTCCATAGCTCCTTTATCGTATATTAATTGACCATATATGTTTGAGTTTATATCTGGACTCTCTATTCTGTTCCACTGGTCTGTGTGTCTGTTCTTGTGCCAGTACCAAATTGTCTTAATTACTGTGGCTTTGTAGTAGAGTTTGAAGTTGGGAAGTGAGATCCCCCCACTTTGTTCTTCCTTCTCAGGATTGCTTTGGCTATTCAGGATCTTTGTGGTTCTGTATGAATTTTAAGACTATTTGTTCCAGTTCATTGAAGAATGCTGTTGATAATTTGATAGGGATTGCATTAAATCTGTAGATTGCTTTGGGCAGGATGGCCATTTTGACAATATTAATTCTTCCTAGCCAAGAGCATGGGATGAGTTTCCATTTGTTAGGGTCCTCTTTAATTTCTCTTAAGAGTGTATTATAGTTTGCAGGGTATAAGTATTTTATTTCTTTGGTTAGGTTTGGTCCTAGGTATTTTATTCTTTTTGATGCAATTGTGAATGGAATTGTTTTCCTGATTTCTCTTTCTGCTACTTCATTGTTAGTATATAGGAAAGCAACATATTTCTGTGTATTAATTTTGTATCCTGCAACTTTGCTGAATTCAGATATTTGTTCTAGTAGTTTTGGAGTGGAGTCTTTAGGGTTTTTTATGTACAATATCATGTCATCTGCAAATAGTGATAGTTTGACTTCTTTACTGTGGCTAGGACCTCCAGTACTATGTTCAATAACATGGGAAGAGTGGGCATCCCTGTCTTTTTCCTGATCTTAGAGGAAAACCTTTCAGCTTCTCGCTGTTAAGTATGATGTTGGCTGTGGGTTTGTCATATATGGCCTTTATTATGTTGAGGTACTTGCCCTCTATATCCATTTTGTTAAAAGAGTTTTTATCATGAATGGATGTTGAATTTTGCAGAATGCTTTTTCCACATCTATGGTAATGATCATGTGGTTTTTCTTCTTTTTGTTGATGTGGTGGATGATGTTGAATGATTTTCGAATGTTGTACCATCCTTGCATCACTGAAATGAATCCCACTTGATCATGGTGTATGATCCTCTTGATGTATTTTTGAATTCGATTTGCTA